CACAGCCCTGCCTCAAGGAGCGATGGCTGTGAGTAACCAAAGCCTTCTGTTTGTGCCCCAGAAGAGCCGGTTTCCAGCAGCCTGTACGGCTCCAGGGCTCTGGCAGGAGGCCTCGGAGGCTCCATCACCCACCAGTGCTTCTACTCCCCCACCCCGGCCAACAAATACGAGCGGAAATATTGGTGCAAGTTATCAGCAAACGGGGTGTGCTACACCATCATCTCCTCCAGCGGCTTCACCTCCAGCCACTACCGGGGCAGGGTGGCCCTGGGGGACGTCCCCCAGAACGGCACCTTCACGATGACAATGACAGGGCTGAGGAGCAGCGACTCGGGCACCTACAGGTGTGGCATTGGCAGCACCAACGAGGGGCTCTACGTCAGCCTCAACCTGACCGTCCTGGCAGGTAGGGGTGTCTTGGATCCTGGGAGATTTTGGGAGCAGGTGCCTCAGGTTTTACTGTTAATGAAGTGATAGATATTAATGTAATATTGTATAGTGTATATTATATGTAATTAATTATATTAATTATAGTATTTGTTAATAATAAATGCATTAATTTTATTAATTATACAAGAATTATATTATATTATATTATATTATATTATATTATATTATATTATATTACATTACATTACATTATATTATATTATATTATATTACATTAAATTACATTATATTACATTATATTACATTACATTACATTATATTATATTATATTATATTACATTACATTACATTACATTATATTATATTACATTATATTACATTACATTACATTATATTACATTACATTATATTACATTACATTACATTACATTATATTACATTATATATAATATAATATAATATAATATAATATAATATAATATAATATAATATAATATAATATAATATAATATAATATAATATTATCTTAATAATATAAGATATTATAATTAATAATTATTATGTATAATTTTATATAATTAATTCTATTCTATAATTATATATTAATGATATTAATATAATTAATATTATAAATAATTATATCATATTATATATAGTATTAATTATATAATAGATAATATATAATATTATATAATATTAATTATATTAATTATATTATATAAGTATAGTATAATTATATATTTTTAATTAATTACATTATATTATTTATAATTGTCTAATATATAATTAATATGATGTGGCTATTAATTATTACTTATATTAATATAATATGTTGTATTAATACATCATTATATTTTATTATAATAATTGTATATTTATAATTATAATATATATTGTTATATATATGATTAAAATATAATACATATTATAATGTATATTTTAATATATAATATAGCATCTATTATAATATATATTATAATATAGAATTGTATTTATGTTATATATAAATATATTATATATAAATATATTATATATAAACGTAATACATCATATTAATACATTATATTAATATATTCCATTATAAAATATATATTTATAGAAAATATATAATATATAATAGATATTCTAGTATATATTGTATATTTAATATCAATATACTATATTATATATGAATCTATCCTAGCTATGTTATATATTGATATATGATATTTATAATTTTGGGGTATAAAAGCAGCCAGGTTTGGCCAAATCAGCTGTTCAGAAAAGTGGAAGGAAACCCTTTCCTGCCTGTTGGAAACAGAAATTTGGAGATTCCAGGGAAGGGCACAGGGGAAATGTCTGAGTGAAGGGGATTTGGAGAAGTAAAGGAAATAACTGCTGGAGTTTCAGGCTGTGAACTATGTGTGTGTGGATATTTTTGAGGTATTATAATCTAAAAAAGATGAATATTTATTATTTATCTATTTATTATCCTAGGGCAGCGCTCAGGGGCATGGCCTGAGCTGTAGAGCCCAAAGGATGGGGCAGGTTTTTGGGAGCTGTGTGCTGACAGCTCCTGTCCTGCTCTCTCCCTGCAGATGCTGCCGTGTCCAGGCCAACCCAGCTGGTCCGAGGGGATCTCCACGGCTCTGTCACAGTCCTGTGCCCCTCTGGGGACACCCAGGGTGACCACAAGAGGTTCTGGTGCAAAGTGGGCAGAAGGAGCTGCACTCTCATCGCCAGCTCTGACGGCTACGTGGGCAGGAGGTACCAAGGACGGATCGTTATCACCCCTCAGGACAGCTCTGGAGCTTCCAAAGTCCTGATAAACGACTTAAAGAAGGAAGATTCGGGGCTGTATCTGTGTGGGACACAAGGCCCGAGGGGTCAGGACAGCCTGCAGGAGGTGGTTCTGCTGGTGGCCACAGGTAGGACAGGGCACGGGGAGCTCAGCGCTGGCTGAGGGGTGTGAAGCGCTAATTCTGCGTCCTCCCCTGCAGCCTCCGCCCTTCCCAGGAGACCCAAGTTCCTCAGCGGCACCATCGGGGGCTCGCTGTCCTTCCAGTGCCACCACGACCCCAAGGGCACCTACGAGAAGAAGTACCTGTGCAGGTGGCAGGGA